GGCTGGAGAAGGGAACGGTTGGCAGCCCCAGGCAGGCCGGATTGACAACCGCAGCCTTGTTGTACTTGTGCTAATAAGGGGGAGAAACGCGGCCCGTCCCTTTCTGAAGTGATACATCTGAGTTATTTCAGGGGCGGCATGGGACAAGGGAAGATTTATCACATGTCCCCAGCTGTACTTTGTTTAGAGAAGTGATAAAAGAGAGCCTGTCAAATTGGAGCGCTGCTGCCAATGGAAACAGGAATATAAATTTCGGCATTGCATAGAGCAGGGTGTCTCAATTTTTTTTTTTTTTCACCTCGTTTCCTTAGGAAATGAAGCTAATGCAATCACACTATCTGTCCACCACCATCTCTTCCTCTTCCCTCCCCCTAGTGATTTCTGAATTTGGCCCATTTCAGGTAGATTTGATAGCGGGACAAAAGTCTCAGCGGACAGGAAAATCAGTGGCTGGACAGAAGAAAGATTGACAGGACTATCCCCACGAGGGAAGAGGCAGTGGTATCTCAGCCCCTTATCCACTCAAAGAGCAGCCAAGGAGCCTCCAAGCAGTCAGCACAAGCTTGGCTCTGAACCCACTGTACCACGCGCTGCCTCTTTCCCATGCTAGAAAAGCAGGCAGGTGGGAAAGGGCTGCACAAGGGTACTCCGAGGTGCTGCTTCCAGTTAAGGGTTGTAGGACGCAGACGCCGCCTCGCTGCGTCACAGAATGACTCGCTTCACGGCATGAACCCATCGTCGTAAGCGGTTACAAGCACCTGATGCCACCTTCTCGCTCACAGGCCCTTCAGCCTCTGGTGCAGTACGTGGGCTTTTGTCTCCATTCCCTGGTGGATGGACCTCTGTGACCATGGACCTCTGTGCCACAGGCCCCGCGTGCAGCACACCCCTGTGGCACCAGCAGGACTGGGGTGGTGACAGAGCACTGTCACCTGCAGCAGGTAGCACTGGGCCTATCTCAGCTGTACTCAGTTAAACATAGCAACAGGAATCAAAGAGGAGGAGCTCGCTCTACGCGATGAGCCGGCTACTTGCAGTCCAGCAGCGAGGTGCTCCCCACAGCACAACGGGCAACGTCTGGCTTTGATCTTTCTTAATGATTTGCCTAGCCTTGAGGTTTTCCAGCACTGCAGAATCGATGAGCTGAGAGCAATGTTACTGTGGGGTGGCAGCCCACGGGGATCCCAGATGAGATTAGGACCATCCGAGGAATACATTTCCCTCAAGGAGTTTGCAGTCTAAATAGTCCAAACGAAGGAAGGATTTGTGTCCTGTTGGACTTCCATTTTTCATTTACTCGCTCTGTATCAGGTAGATAACAAAGGCAAGGAGAAATTAAGCGACTTGCCACTTAAAGTCGGTTCTGTGAGAGTCTACGCTGTGAAGCAAGTACGTGAGGGATGTACGTGGGAAGCGAAAAGGCAGCAGAGAGCCTGCAGATTCTGGGGTGGAGCAGAAGGTCCAATTGCAGATCGCTGTGTGAGGCCTGCCAAGGCACTGCAGCTGCTTGGCTCCGATTTGCAATACACAGCTCAGCACTCACCCAGCATCTTCAGAAATTAGCAGGGGGGTTAATTCCTCTCACATGCATACCTAGGTCTAAATTGGAATCAGTACAAATAATTCATGAAGTTCCCCACTGTTTGTGCAAGGAGCGGGACATTTCATACGTGTTTAGTAGGACCAATAAAAGTAAAGGACACGGAATAGTACATCTGCCTGGCCTTAAGTGAGAGTGCTGCCATCAAGTTTACTCAGCAGTGAAATCAACCTCATAAAACTTTTTTAGCTATACAAGTGAATCTAGGGACTAATGAACAATTACACCTGTAGGCTAGCCAGCGCTGGGAGCAAAATAGTTACAGGGAGAGCAGGCAGAGGTTAGAGTAAGTTAATTGTTTTTATATTAGGATACTTCTTTAATGACACTAATATCAGTCCTCACTTACTCGAGTTTGGCTTATAAAAGTACTCCAGAAAGTCCTTCAAAACTTTTCCTGGTACAATTCCTCACTGCACCCCTCTCTCTGAGACTCATACCATTCCCATGGACTGTCACAGACAAAAAAGCCTGGCTCAGTCTCTGCCCCTCCAGTGCACCCACTGAGCACCGAAACGAAAGCAGATTTTGAACCCATCTGCCGCAGAAGGACGGTGGCACCAAACCCAACAGAAATATCCCAGTCACCACAGAGGCAGAGAGCCCACCAGCAGATTTTAAACACTGGTCCTTTCCCGCCACCCGGCGTTGGGCTGGGCAGACTGAGGAAGGAAGCGGTGGAGGGGGCAGGCGTGTTCAATGCCGGCTCTGCCTCGTGACGGGGTACAAGGGAGGGGGGCAGCAGAGCGGTACCCTGCTCCCAGCACACTCCAAGCTGGCAGAGTGACCACGCTTGGCCTTAATGTCTATGGAACTGCTGCTCTTGACTTGAGAAGAGGCCAGATCAAACTAGTGGCCTGCAGCAGGAACGCTGATGAGTTATTATTCATTAAAGGCATGGCCACCATGGCATTGGTTAATCAGGGTGACAGGCATTGCCTTTTCCACACACACCATTCATCACTATATTAGTGAGCAGAACATGCCTAAAGCTACATAAGGCCAATCATTTACTCACCATCGCTGCTGGCACCGCAGTCCCTACTGTTAGGCCTACAAAGCAGAGAGGGGACAGAGCAGCTTGGAGAAGAAGGTGTGCTGGGGAGAGAAGCACGGGGCTGAGGGTGCTGGGTGGCTGGGGCCTGCTGAGCCCAAGGCACCCACCCCGGTGAGCTCTCGGGGAGCCAGGACGAGCAGCACCAGGCCAGGCAGGAGCAGCCTGCAGGTGGGGCTCCAACAGCACAAAGCCAGCTTCTCCTCCCCAAAACGCTGGCCCGTGCCAACGTGCCTCCTTTCTGCACGTTTTCCTTAGGAAACCCGCTTACCTCCCCATGCACTCCAAGGAACGCGGACTAAGCTGTCATTTATAGCCCTAGCTCCCAAATGTTTCCCTGCCAAGAGCACCTCCGTTTTGTGACTAGAGTTCCTGGGTTAATTTGATCCCTATCCGCCCCAGAGACTCACTGCTTCCACCCCCAGGAACGTTTCGGTCCTCGCCCCGCAGGGAGGCTGAGTGGGCCCTGCGGCTGCACCTGGTGCTGAGCCCCACTGGGGCTGGCCTTCCCCTTGCTGACCAGCCCATGCCCACCCGCTTTGCTGTGGGCATGGTCCTCCTACCACCTTCCTGCCTATCTCTATGAGACCTTTTTTTTCTTTTTTAACCAAACAAAAATTTACATCAAATAGGGTTACTTCAAATTTTCAAAGAAACATAATTTTCTAAGTCAACAAAAAAGTTCTGAAGAAACACTGTGTTTTGAAGGAATCATTTTCTTCAAATTGGATTCTGTTAAAGTGGGGTTAAAAAAAAGTTGAATTGACCTTTAATGAGTTTAAGGGTCCCTTAAAAGGTGCCCTTTTTTAGAAGGGGGCATTAATCTGCTGTAGCAACTGACTCAAGTAGAGGATGAAAATCCACAGCTCTTCTGTCCCCTTGAGCAGAGGCTGGCGTCAAGGGACTGTATTTCCAGAGACTTGCAGCGGAAAGATAACTCGGTGCAGTGCTGACAACGTAAATATAAAGCAAATTTGGGGTGACGATTTTTCTCGTTTCTTTGGGCAAATATTCTTTGCTGCGTAGCACCAGA